TGATACTTGTAAATATTCATATTGAGAAATAGGTAGCAAAGAAGCAGGGCTAAACTTCTCATAGTTTACAAATATTGGCTTAATCTGAAAGTAATATACAACAAACTCTCCTCTCTTACTTCTAAGTACTTCATTTAAATTATGCCAATATAAATAGAGCAACATTTAGATGTGGCAGAAATAATTTGGGGTAATTGATGAAAGAATTTCTCCTAAAAATAATTTTATAAATAAAATGTCTTGTGTATCCAATGTTAGGGCGCCAAAATAAGAAGGTATAGGGAAAATATGTACAGATCGACTGCAATGTAACAGCAATCCTGATTTCAAGAAAACATAAATTTGTATGATGGAACTTGTCCGAAAGACAAAACAAAGAAAAGTGCAATTAGTTTTAGGGAGATTGCCAATATGTTGTGTTCAAAGTGGCATTCTGTCACAAATTACACATTTTAAACCGAGATTCATTAGAAAATAAAAAGTTCATTCAGAAAGAAGATGCATTAATACTTTCTCAAAACAAATGTATTGCATTTAACTATATTATTACGTAACATTAGTTTTCTTAATTATACTCACATTATACATAAATTTCTTATAGTTACTCAAAGAATTTTGCATGTGCTTAATAACGTTCCATGCCATGAAGATATTTTAGAGAAATGATGTATAGCTCTACATATTCTTAATTTGGCACTAGATACAGCTTCATGCCTAAGCTGTTCTACCTCCAGCGAAAGAGTCGGGCAGAGGCTGGGTGAGTCTCAGAGCTGGTCTGGACACTGTGGACAAAAACCTCTACACTTACTGGGAATCATATCTGATTCCTCAGTTGTCCAGCCTATGGCACAGTCACTATACTGACTGAGCTATGCAACTCCCACAAATACAGATTGTTAATAAAAATCAGAGTAATGAAATAAGCAATGGAATAAAGATTATCAAGACAGAGCATTTTGATTGTACTGTATCTGAGGTAAACAGTCATAGCTCATGGTCCCTTTGTAGTACACACATAGAGCCACTATTCTACAGTGTATATGCCTTTGTTCCAAATTGTATTTCAGACATATACTTGTACATTTTATCTTAAAATGTGTTGATTTAATTAACACATGGTTACTGCTCTGTGTCACTAAATAAATATCATTGTCAAGGAGTTTATTGCTATAATTCTTGAAAAGAGTATACATTAGAATTACAACTGTTTACCTCCTTGTTACAGAAATAAAATTTGATACCATGTATCAAATCTTGGTCCTCCAACCAGTTACCCACCAGATTAGAGGCACAACTAATAAATGTAGAGTGTGAAGCTGAACTGCATGAGCGAATTCATTCACAGGTGTACCACTGAAAGTAACGAATTAAATTTACGATTAATTTCTGAATTCATCTTATGACTTTGTAGCAGGATACACCATTTCAGACAAGGGGGGGGGGGGGGGGNGAGGAAGAAGGAAGTTATGAGAACTATAGAAAACAGAATTTGCAGAATATGGAAGAAACTGGGAAGTACACATTGACAGGAATTAAAAATATCTTAAAACATCTACCAAAAGGAAAAGAAGTTTGGTCAGACCTCTGAAACAATGGAAGGTTTCTGTTTTTTAATATCCATAACAGGTCTCAATAGACCTGACACTATAAAATATGATTTAATAAGTTCATGTTAGCAAATGAAACATAAATAACTGCTCAGTGGTATTGTAATAATACAGCCAAAAAAAGTTTTCCCCCTTCTTTCTTACATCTGCACATCTGATGCCCTGCTACTACTACTCTTTATTGCAGCTTGTGGCCCTCATTCATCTATCCACTGTTTACAGAATCGCTGTTACAAGGTGTAGAACTGTGTACATATTAAGTGAAGGTAATTCTGAATTTGAGATTCTCAAATGGATGGAAAGTTATGGTTTTATGGGATTTGAGGCTGTGTAGCCTGGTATATAGGTACCACAGTTTTGGAGGAATGTGTTTCTTCCATCTTTCACTTTTTTCCACATTTGATTTACTCTTCTACCCTGAAGATGGAGGCAACACATTCCTCTGAAACGTAAGAGACAGTCAACCAGATGACACAGCACAACATCCCAGAAGACAGTAACCTTTAAGGATAATTCTGTTTGTAGGCAACTTAGAAGAGGTGGACATTCAGTGAAGAAGTGGCAGAAACTAGTCACATGGAAAGAAAACTTGGGCAAGAAAATGTTAACAAGTTACTAACATCATGCAATGCTTCCAAAGAGCTTTGGTCCAACTTGCATCATCCCAATGATGCTTAATCAATTTAATTACTCATAAACATCAGGGCATGATTTAAAAATGAACAAAAGATATATTCTCTCTAAAGACACCTATTTTAGGTAAAGTGTTTAATTAAGCACTGCAACATGAAGACATGAGGAAGCTCAGATGCAAGTCCACAGATTCTTGGCTTCTGCACTAGATGGCGATGAATGATCAACTACATGCTCCAATCACTTTACCCCTGGGCAAAAGACCCTCCTCCCACTGAGTACCATAATTTCTGTATTTGCAGCACTTGGTGTGGAGGAACAATTATATACATCATTCAAAATGATCCTACTATATCTCATATAATGCTACATACAATCAGCAATTTATAAGCACTAAAAATAAATCAGTAAGATGAATTAAGGGGTTCTACAGAGTCCAAAAAATAGGCACATATTGGGGGCTGACATTCACAATCAGCATATAAGACTGGAGGTCCTCATAGCAGTGACTACCAAGATCATCATCTTCTAGGCTCTGATGTCATGTAGTCTGATGGAAAGGTACCAACATTTCACAGAAACCTGCAGCCTCCATTTTCATGGTAGATTTTTCTACACTGAAGATGAAGACAAAATATTGACATCTATATATCAAACTACATGGTATCACATCCCAGAAGTCAATAATCTTCACCATCACCAATGTGAAGGCCTCAGACCTTATGAAGATAATGGGGGGGGGATATTTGGGTTCATTCCCACTTCCTACTCCATTTGTAATTCCATCTACTTATCTTGAAAATGAATTTGATACAAATAATATCTTTTTTCTAAAAGCACAATATGGCAGTAAGAGTCCAGTAATCACTAGTAGCCCTGATGTCCAAAGAACAGTAGATGCAGAGTTGGAAATAAATGCTCTTCGCAGCAAACAGAATCAGTCTAAAATATCATGACACATGGTGAAGAACAACTTACAACTGCCAGCCAGCAGTGGCATGTATGGCTGTTGAAATGGCCACATCAAGAAAGAACAAGATAATGGGGCAATATCAGACAGGACTGAGCAGTTGGTAACCCTGTCTTATTACTGTACATCACATACCCATTATTTAATCAAACCATTTCATGAACTATCAATGAGGATCTGAAGTTAATAGAGTTGATGATTTTACTGCAAAGATGTTCACCAAAGCTATAATGGTAATTCTTAAAAATCTATGGCAAATCTGATTCATTTAAAAACATGCATGTCATTATAATTTAGTACTTCATTGTCATATCATATTCATCTAACACTTCACAGTTGACTCTAAATAGTTTAATATCTGTTCTAAAGCTATGTCATATTATATGACAAAACTTATTTGCTTTTGTTTATAAGAAAACTTCATGAAAATATCGCTTGACTCAGTGACTTCTTTGAAGAAATAACTATATACGGTGGGCAATTCAAATAGTATACATTATAACTCAAGTCCCTACTTCATTTCACCATTACACTTTTTTTTATAAATGTATTGCTGAATTAAGTTCAATATTTTAGTTTACAAAGTCACAATATTAATATCATTATTAAAAGAAAAGAACCTTGCATGATGAATATATGTAAGTTTGTGTATAATAAAAACTTACCAGAAATAAGTTCCATTGATGCACAGTTAAAGATGAATATCAAATAACACACAGTGAACATTCCCAATGCAGGCCATGAAACTTCATGTAGAAAAGTTCCTTTTTAGTGACAAAATATTTCTTTTTTTAATAAAAATGGCATCAATTTCTAATTCACTGAATCACCAACCTGGAACATGTCTCAGTTCTATTTCCTATATGGATACATACTCTCTGCAATATGAAAATTCTATGGTCAAAGCTGGTAATGCAAACCAGTGAACTCACAAATGTAAAATGGAATCTGTTCACCATCTCCAAACAGAACTTGACAAAACCACAAAATCAAACTAGAAAAACAACAGTATGAACTTTTATGTAACATTTTATAATGTAAATAAATTAGCAATAAATGAAGAATGTATGTATCATCATTAGCTTAAAGGTATAAGCCCAATGGACTTTTGTCCCCAGTACAAAATAAATGCTTTCACTCAACTGGAGAAATGAATCATGAATACCACCAAATTCAATCCAAAGTACCTACTCAAACCGGGGAATAATGTAAACATGGTGTTTCACAGGGGTCAATTTTGGGGCCTTTGCTTTTCATAATTTATATAAATGACCCCCGTCCTACACTAAGGACCTCATCAATACCTATATTTGCAGATGACACTAGTGTTATAATTTATGGTAAAATTTTAGATGATTTCTGCATGTTATCAAGCAAGGTTCTTTCGCAAATGAGTAAATGGTTTTCTGCAAACAAGCTGTCCCTGAACATAGAAAAAACAAATGTAATAAAATTTATAACAAAAACTCACCACAATATCCATTAAACGTAGGATATAACGATAAATATATAGAAGAGGGAGTAAACACAAAATTGCTTGGTTTGCAAACTGATAATCATTTAAACTGGAAAAACCATATCGATCAGTTGATTCCAAAGCTAAGTAGAGCATGTTATGCAGTTAGATTCATGTTACATATTAGTAACACTGGCACTCTCAAATCAATCTATTGTGCTTACTTTCACTCTTTAATGAAGTATGAAATAATTTTCTGGGGTAATTTATCTGAGAGTAAAAAGGTATTTACATTGCAAAAGAAAATTGTTAGAATCACGATNAGTAACTTATGTATTTTTAAATAGCCTTGTGTGTAGTCACTGTGTATTCTTGGTTTCTCCTGTGTGAGAACTCCATTGGGACTGGACATATGTTTTGTACTTTTATGACATATTCCACATCCTACAGTCATTCTGACTAACTTTGGATCCATGGAATGCAATGCAATGTAATATTTTTATAAGCACAGACTAGATAATGTAATATCAGTGAAAAACTGAAGTTCTGATCAATATAATGGAATATTTTACTCGCAATTATGGTCTATCAATTACAGTACAATTCAGTATGCAATCTGCTAACATAAGTAATCTTTATTTATACAGTATTTACAGTTGTGACAGACTCCATGAAAACAGTCTGACTGAACATAAGATGAAAATATAATTCAATACCAAAACTTGTAAACAGCAAAAGCAGACAATCTTCAACATCTTATGAAAGCACTAATGAAGACCATGGCACTTCAGACCTCAATCTTGTTCCTAAGATGGGGGCAAGAAAGCACAATATACAATCAATTCATTGTGATAACATTCAAAATGCAAAAATCCCATGCACCACTCTGTATGTGCACATACATAAAATGCTGACTAAATGAAATGAAAAGACAACTGCTTTCCTGTCTGACATTACTCCTACAGGGAAGAACTCCCTATTCTGAACAATTCACTTCACATTTTAAAAATCGCTTGATATAAATAATAACAAAAAGAGGCAATAATATTCTCTGGTACTGCTATTTATGCTCACATAAATAAAATAGAAACAATAACTTACACAGTAAAATACTGCCGAGAAATTAACAATATTTCTGTCCAATCAATAATAGATAATTGAGACTTGTGGTTCTCACAGTGCTGGATATAAAGACTACTGCCATCTCAGATATGGTACCTTGTCATCTCATAGAAAGGTACCCATGTTTCAGAGGAACCTGCTTACTTGATCTTCAGGGTCGACCCTGAAGATGGAAGCAGTGATTGCCTCTAACATATCAGTGCCTTTCTATCAGACTACACAGAATCACACCTCAGAAGAGAATAATCTTAATAATACACATTATTTGTAAAGAAATTTTCACAGTCAACTCATGATCATTCACATAAGGGTCTGTTTGGAAGAGGGACAATAATATTCCACTTTCTATCCCTCAGTGGGAGAATCATGTCTGATTTCTGCAGATCACACCAAAGAACACAAAAACATTTTGATTATGGCATCAAGGGGAAGCCTTGATATAAAATAGATGAGTAAGAAACTGAATTCACCAGAGTAAAGACCTACAGACACAGTATAACACTATAACAAGAGAAGAACAACTTGTCTGAAATGTTTATGGGCCTACCCTGGTGGGTTCTCTCTTTCTTGTATACTTTATGATAATCATGGCAGTGTTTAGCGAACAATGTGATGTATTCACTAACTTTTCATTATTCTTATCTATGTCAGATACTTTAATCCACAAGTTCTGTCATCTCTACTTTCATTACCTTATTAGTCACATAACTGTCAGCTCGTCCTCATTTTATAACCAATGTTTGAAGGCCCTTGAATGAAGAAAACAATTTTCATAATCCATACTCATTTCTGTGTGTCTCCAACCCTCCCTCACTGTGTAGCATGTCTTACACTTTTTTAACTTACAGCTTAGAGTTCTGTGAGAATAACACAGTCTACTGACATAGAAAACATCCTATGTTTAAATTTAATTAACACGTTCATTATCACGCCCCCCCCCCAGAATTTTACTTGCTGGTTCAAGTATTCTTCCACAAAAAACTCTATTTTAGCTTACTGCACTTGAAACAGAAATGGATGAGAACAAGTTAAAACAATCAAAAACTGCTGTATGTTTCAACTCTTTCAAGATCTGATGGGCTATATTTAGAGTTTCATTGCATTTCAATGTCAACTGTAGAAGAAAATGACATTTGCTTACACAATGGTAATCGTATGTCACTTGACAGGGTCAGCTCTGGCAATGGCATACTTCACCCTGTCAGGTGACAGGACTGATGTGACTTCTGCTCTGTGTAGAGGTGGGTGATATTGCTGATGATTTGGAGGCAACATGTACCTGTGAAACATTGGCAATATCACCCACATCCGCACAGCTTAACAACCCAAAAATGGAACTATCCTCTATAATTAACCATTGTAAAAGCCTAAAATCACTAAGGTGACAAGACTGACTGTGAATGTGTCAACAGGAATGGACAGAAAAGATCTCTCTTTATACAGATGTCTGTGTTTTGCAACACTTATTTCCATCTATTAGTAAACCTCCAATTTTAATGTCCATGCAGTTTTGGCAACAAAAAAAGGTAAATATCTTTTTAAATCCTCATTAAAAAGAAAATCTGATATCACCAAACCTGCAAAGGGCAATCACGAGTTGACTGCAAATAGGTGAGGTCACAACCTTTACAGAAAGGTTAGAAAATGAAAAACACTGATGGTGGCCACACCCGTAATTGTGGAACACATATCTATAGCAACCTAGCCTAAGATATGATCTATTGCCATTGAATGAATGTCTATCTTGCTTTTTTTTTTTGTCAGAGCTACACATGCAGTGCAAACTCTGTCAGATGAGAGTATTTCATATCATTACATTCTCTCTTGGTATTTTAATTAAGAACTATGTATTATTTATGGTGTTGTACTCTTCTGATACTACACAAGGTACTAAATTCTTGCTCAAAAGACCAAATATTATTTTAATTTCAATGCATATTTTCATTTCTCCCAAACATTGCCCTGTGTGACACTACTTCTCAAAGGACAAATGCATTGTATCATATCTTCTGGCACCTCTCACTGACAAACATTCAGAAAAATCTCCATATGGACAGCATAAGGATGGAAGTTGATGCAGTTTCTTTCTAACAAACTGGCCGAACTTTCAAACTAGATGACTAATCTTGATATAAAATGAACTTCCTAACCCTGTAACCAGCCAAATGCCACATCAGAATGATGCCCTAACTTGAAGACTGAGAATGTGATAATGTGCTGCCTGGTCAGGGATATCGCACACTTCAGGGTGGTGACAGATGAGCTTGGAGCAATGGTGGAATTGTGGGAAAACCAGAGAAACTTGGCAAAAAACATGTTCCAGTATCACTTGGTCCACCATGAATCTCACATGGAAGTATGCAAAAAAATCTCACTATGGCCTGCATGAGAATGGAGAACTTCCAAAATAAATAACTGACCTTCACATGTTAATGTTCCATATTCCCAGTTTAACATAACCTTCATTAATTTTTCCTACCATTTGGTGCCTCCTTTGAAGTTTACTTTCTGATATATCATTATCAGTTTCTAGATATTTTTATTCTCCATACCATTAATGAGTAATACAGAGAAAAATATCAAAGAACTAATTGTTAAAGTAATTACAAGCAACAAAACTGATATAGATATAGATGTCATGTAAGCCAGTCTGTTAGATATAAAACTTGCAATATAAAATAATAAGACTTTTTCTCTGTTTTGAATAATGAAACATGTAAAGCAGCTTCAAACAACCAAAATTCATCAAATTGTTTGTGCAGACTTTATGCAGTTTCTTTCTTTCTCCAGTTATAGAACAGTAAGATATCACATTACAATGAAATTTAAAGGTCTTTATTCAGTAATTATAGCTGACATGCTGGAAAATATACAGTAACGCATTACTTCTCCAGTAGAATGCAAACTTAATGTCAGGGTCATTACAGGTCTAAAATACTGGGAGAAAATATACTTACAATACTGGACAGCAATACCCTTTCATAAATAAATTGTACACTTTGACTCTTGCTTTGGTTTCATGACAGATGATCAAGAAATCATACCAGTCATCCATCCCAATGAGAACTTTGGTTTTATGGGTTTGTACAATGACAGTGATGATCACGAACATATCTGAGTAGGTTCCTTACTCCCATTTAAATGACAATTTGAAGGATGAGAGGAGAACAATAAAGGAATGTGTTAGTAATTCCTATGTTTCCTGTTAGATGGCTCTTGTTCTCGAACCTGTTAACAGTGCAGATATCAATGCAACTGATTCACACTGTACATAACCAAAACTGGCACAAGGGGAAAGTAGCCAGACATCTGCAGAATGGTCTGCAGGGCCTCACCCTCCTTGTGGACGGGACTTGTCAAGTACACACACTCAGACTAGGATGTGGCCGTCTCCTTGCGGGCTGTGAATGACACTATCGATCTGATTCCCTTCACCGAAGTCTGTAAAAGTTTAAATAAGAGAAAGTTGTGAGATCTAAGGCTCTCACATGGTGAATATGAAGACTGCTGTCCTCTGGGATGTGATGCTGTGTAGTCCAGTAGAAAGGTGCCACTGTTTCACAGGAACTTTCTGACTCCACCTTCAGGGTAGAAAATGGAGGCAGCAGGTGTCTCAAAAACACTTGTTCCTTTTGGCCAAACTACTCTCTGACTGAGTACTGAAGGAGGTTTGTAGCTTCCCTGATACTGGCAGTGGAGGTTGGCTCCACTGCTGTTCCTTCACTTTTTGCCACCATGCACCTTCATGATTGTCCGATATGTCACACCCCAGAAGACAGTACTCTTCAAAATAAGGTTCGCTACTTCACAAAACAGAAAAAAATATTACATAACCGACAAGCAGTTGCGAGTTTTGATCTAAATAATGCTTAAAAACTGCCTTCAAATATTAGTCAATTATGCTTCTCACAGAAAAGAAATTCTGGTTTTATGTAACTGTTTACCACCTTCTTTGACATTGGTTGATTGCTTGGATTACTCTTCAACCCTGAAGACGGGGTGGAATTTTCTTCCGAAATATTGGTTAACTTTCGATGAACTTACAATGTTACACCCCTGAAGATAGAACTCTTCATAACCACTGGTGTGAGAACATCAAATCCTACAACAAATTTTATCTTTTGGCAGAGAATAATAAATAATTACCTTTTTCTTTGACCCATTTAGGAATTCTTTATACATCTCAGATCTCAAGTATCTGGAATAACTGTCACTTCTCATCAGATGGTACACGTGGGCCTGCGGGGAAAAAAGCAGCATACGAGACAAGGCCAATTATCAAGCTACACTATTTACTAAAGAGAATAGTGCAAATTTTGAAAGAAAGCACAATAAATGCTTCACCAATCATGACAGGACAGCTCAGTCAGTATATGACCATGCTACAGGCTGGATGACCAAGGAATAAGGATTCAATTTCTGTTTGAGTAAGAGATTTTTCTCATCTCCTCAGCATCCAGACCAGCTCTGGGGTCTATGCAGTCTCCTATCCAATAGATACTGGGAACTCTGTCCCTGTGCATAAAGTGGTTGGGATATGAAGCTGACCACATTTATGTAACGCAGAGGTTAAAAATTGATGGAACTATACCACCATTCCCCTATACATATACAAGGCATGGTACTTTATTAAGAGCAGGGACAACCTTCACAATTGTAATGCATATTTCTATCTCTGGTATTGTGCATCTTCTCAAATCACAACACAATAGGCACTTGACAGATTAAGAAATTTCTGCTTGTTTCCTACAGCATATATCAAGATAATTATAGCAATAGATTCCAACTTATTTATACTGTGACAGGTTGGGTTGTTTCTACGAAACCAATAGGTAAACACATCTCGCAGCAACGAATACGCAACAATAGGGTGTCCACTGCTAGGCAATGCATGTGTGGATATGCCTGACAACAATATAGGATATCCAAGTAACTGATGTGTTTTCTGAGGTCCATGCCAAAGATTTATAATAGAGGATTTGTCAGGAAGACAGCATGGGAGTGAGTTTACAACCCCGTGTGGAGGCAGGGTTGAATACCTCCACTGTGACCCTGCAAGTCGTAGGAGGTGATGGAAAGGGAAGTCTCAAATCTGAGACAGTAAAATATGATCTCAAGTCCCAAGTGACTTGGTCTTGAGAAAGACTGCGCTGGCGAGGGCCAGCAGCATATACAAATGACAGACACATCCTCTCGTCAGAGAGGGCGCCCCACAAAACCAAGACTGACTGAGTGACTGTCAGTCACAATGTGACTTTGACTTTGAAGACAGCGTTCAAGGCAGTTCAATAGTTGAAGTGTTGAAAACTTTACTTTATATGTTATACAAGTAGATGCAGTAAAATTTACAGTGTTATTATCATTGGTGTGTCATAGATACAGCAATCTTGAAAGTGTAATAATTAATTGTAGTTACGGCTGATGAAGATTCAATAAACAAATTCTCCTGATCCTGAACCCATTAACTGTTCATCACACTAACCCTTATACATGACAATATGTATTGAAATACTAGTTTGTTCTATCTATAGTTTATATAACAATGCCATCAGTAGCTCAATGTTGAATAACAAGATGGTGGTGAATAATGAATTGAAAAAGATTTTGAAGGAAGCAATTGTGGTCTAACTTAAGGTACAATTCCAGCATTTTCCTGGAATGACTGAGGAAAACAACAAAAACCTCAGCCAGAATAGTTGGTCTGCCAGCTGAGATTTAAACATGGCACATCCTGAATAAAAGCCAGAAGTATTACTATTGCTTGAGTCACATTCCTTAGTCTAACTACTAGTTCAAAGTGTTTGTCAAAAGCAAACTTTTTCCCCAAGAAATGCAAAGATTTGAAGCTAGAACTGTTGGATTTGTATACTTATGGTGTTGTAAACATGTATGTACAGTAATTTGTATATCAAATAATAAAAATTACCATAGTAATATTACATATACATTATTTACTTAATCAAAAGGCTGGATAAAACAAAATTGCATCTAAAGTTTAAGGTGTTCATTCTAATTAACATCAATGAAACAACACACAGATGACATAGACGTAATAAAAAGTATTTTCTTGTTGAAAACTTTACCATTGTATTTCTATCAACAGTTTAATTCAACATGCATCAAACACAACATCCAAAATATATATTGTTATAAAAATCCAAATATGTTTTGAGCAGGGCCCAGTAGCAGACAGTCAACTTAGTAAATGAAACTTTTGGTTCTACAAAAAGCAGAAAATTTGACTAGCTGAGTGAATTTTAGCTTCTCAAGAAAAGTCTGCTCCATAGAGTAAGCCAGTAGTCAAATTCAGGGGGTGATGAGGGAGGGGGATTAGTGGACAAGAACCCACAGATTAACTCACTATGTGGATTCTACAGAAGGCACTCTACTCCTCTGCAGCCCTAACAATTACTGTGTTAATACTAACTGCTGCCACATCGAAACTCCATCGATCAGGAGTCTCCATGTTCTTCTTGGTTATCTCATATGATCGTGAGTCCACATTGATGGGGCAGCTAGCATCAGGTGCCAGGAACTCAATCCATATCTCATCCACTTTATCTTGAACATCCTTCTGAGGCAGTGCTTTCAGCTGTTGCACAGCCTCCCAGAACCTGTAAGATTCCTTTAGATGTGATCCCTCTCCAACACATAACAGAAACTTTGCCACTATCAATCATCAAACTCTCTGGTGATACAATATGAACCGCAGCAATCCGAGCTAGTAAGTTCGGCCTCTCATTCTCGCAACCCATTACTCTAATCTTGCTAATTAACTAACTTTCTGGTAGCAAAATCCAAAGGTTTAACACCCTTAATTCCAAAGCCTGCCATTGGATATGATTCATTTTCATCCACCTTCCATCCTTTATAAACTATTTCCCTAAGATCAGTTTTACTAATTGTGAAGTGGTACAATAATAGGCTCCTGCCACCGATCAGCAATTTTTCTCATTCCAAACAGATTAACTACCTTGTGGATCTTAGAATGTAATATTTCACCTCCTGCTTGAATAAGTTCTGTCAGAATGTGATCACTACCTAGCAATTTATATCTTCTCAACTTTGCAATAGCAATTTCAACCTCAAAAGGGCTGGAATCAGGTACTAACGGCTCAGCTGTAAGTATTTCTATTTGCCTAACATCACTGGCCCTACATACATTCAATAACTGAGAGAAGTAGTTCTTCAACCTATTCAAAATGTGGGAATCTGCAATTACATCAGCATTCTCATCCTTTATTAAGTTACTTCTAGGTTGGTAACCCTTCTTAAAGCCATTTATTCCTCTATACAGATCTCTAACGTTGGTCTTCCTGTTCGTTACAAGCTCATCAATTTTGTCTTTCAGATATTCCCTCTTTTTATTCCTGAAACGCCTGCTGGTTTCACGTCTCATATTGTTCAGATTATCCCCATTTATTTTGCTTGGATCCTTTAACCACTGCAATTTGGCTTGTTTCCTTTGGTCTATTAATTCTGAGCATCCTTTGTCAAACCACGGCTTATGCATCTTCAATTCATGATCACCTAGACTCTCTTTGGGCAAGAAGTTGATATCCTTTCTAATATTTTCCCAAGCTTTATTAACATCTGCTTCAGTGTCCAAGTTTTTCAAAGCTGTGAACCTATTTGAGATTTCAACATTATACTGCTCTTTACACTCTACTTCCTTTAATTTCTTGAGATTGAACCTCTCCACATGAACTTTGTACATTGTTTGTTTACTCATTGCCAGTATCTCCATAACTTTTGCCACTACCAGATAGTGGTATCACAATCTGGTGCCCTGAATAACTGGACATCAAGTATACTTGAATGCCATCTCCTATCCATCAAAATATGGTCAATTTCATCATGCATCTTCTCATCAGATGTCCAAGTAAATGTATGAATGTTACAATGTGGGAACATCGTACTTTTGACAGTAAGATTTGTGGATATGGCAAAGTTTACTACTCTAACTCAATTATCATTACTAATTTCATGCAAACTCTCATTCCCAATTGTTGGTTTGAAAATGTCTTCCCTTCCTACTCTGGCATTGAAATTTCCTAACAAAATTTTCACATGGTATTCAGGGACTTTATCAAATACATGCTCTAGTTCTTTGTAGAACCTGTCCTTCATGTCAATAATTTTGTCCTCTGTTGGGGCATGAACATTCAGAAGGATGATATCACACCAGCGACTCGCCTCACTAGCAAATACAGTATCTCCTATTTAACTTCTGACCTACATTAGCACACCAATAAGAAAAATCTAAAACATAAAAATGAAGTGTAACAGCCTGAGTTGAATATCATACATTGTGAATGTGATGATGACTATGTTTAGACAAAACATGAGGCTCATACATGTTCAGTAAGTTATAATGATGCACTTTGGATTGTAATATTGTGATTACTACGTCCTAACCTAATTTTTTGTGTGATGTGGCATTATATCCTACTTGACAAGAATATTTAATCCACACCAGGATGATCCAATACAGAATTAATATCTACGAAGCTTACTGAAGAGCTGATGAACTCACTTGAGATTCTCACCGCTGAATTCCTTGTCAAGGAACCTGACAAAATGTTCCCGTCCCACAGGATCCTGCAGCAGTTCCTGCAAACTGAAAGCCCAGCGCTTCACCCTTCGTGCTGGGATGTCCTTCCTGTAGGTCATAAGCAAAATATAGCCACCAACTGCTGGCAGAGACATACTCAGCAGCAAATGATTCTTAAATTTAACAGCACTGCTTCAACTACAGTGCACACCTTCATTATGGCATTTCACCTTCACAGCAGTTATAAAATATAACCATAAAACTGAGCAGGCTAGCATAGCAGTAACACTCTGACCATGTATTCGGAGGGTGCTCAGTTTACATTTTGGATAGAATATCAGCCATCTCACCACAGGTTTTACTCAGTCCCTCCAGAGAAATACTGGGATAATGCCTCAATTATGCCACAACCACTCCCTTCCAAATCTTCTCTAATTCATAATTCATTGGTTAGCCTACCATTTGATGTTAAATAACTGTGCTATGGATGGTGTCATAAAACAACCCGCAAAAAGACCACAGAATGGACCATAAATTTGCCCCTACAGATATTTTGAATAAATATTAAAAAAACTTTAAATACAGAATCCAAAACAACAATAAATTCAGCCTAAATTATCATTTTAAAAAAATAATCATTTGTTTTTAAATTTAGATCACATATACATAGGTGTTGACGATGTAGCAGGGCGTGTAGCTGATCACTGGCTAGCCCGTTTTCACAAGCTGGTGACAAAGGTTGATGGCTGCTACTATTGCTGCCGTTCTCATCTTATTTTAGACTGTGCAGTATATTAACATTATCTGAGATGTTAGGAAAGGGGCCATAAATTTTTCTGTGTGCCTACTGTTATGGGTGCTTATTACTGTTGAGTGAAAAATTTTCCATATTAAAGCACCTCTACCTGTAAGACAGGCTTAATGGAGCACAGGGACATGTATATGTCTACAAGTCTTCATGGCATCAAATTTCACATGGTCACCTCAATCACCTGACTTTGATACAGGATCTCCTTTGAAGAGACAAGGAACTTCTGTATCAGCCAGAGGTCCCTACAGAGTGGAACTCCCATTTAGTGTTTGTCAATTTACGATCCTTCCTCACTTGACATTCAACTTCAACAATCCCAAGTCAATAATCTTAGTTTAGTTTAAAGCGGCCTCCGTAGTCTAGAGGTAACGTTCCCACCTCATGACTCGTGGTATGCGGGTTCAAACCCGGTGGAGGTCGTGGAATTTTTAAGGGCGGAAAAATGACTCGTGGTATGTGGGTTCAAACCCGGTGGAGGCCGTGGAATTTTTAAGGGCGGAAAAATTCAGGGAACAAGTCCTCCGGGAGGGACTTTAAGCCGTGTGTCCCGTGTCATAGCTTTACGGCACGTAAAATAACCTCATATCTCCAAAGGTCACTGAGCCAAATTCAAGGACGTTTCCCGCCCAACAGTAGTCTCTAACGCCTCTGATAGATGGGGGAAGCATTATAGATACCGCCAAGCCAGTAGAGGCCGAACTCGCTGGCTCGGTCGGGACTGATGGTATGCACCAATATCGGTAGGGTATAGAGACTGGTAGAATATCATAGAGGGAAGCACAATGCACCAATACTGGTCTAAGTGCACAGGAAAACCCACCCTCTCCAATAACTAACTAACTAGTTTAGTTTAGTGCCAAAAGAAACATTAGATAATGGGAAGGTGAGCTCTGATAAACTTACGCTGTCTTCTCCTGCTCCCAGAACTCCGGACTATCTGATGTCCAAGGATTAGGGAGCTCTGGTGTGGTGAAGAAGGGATCGTACTCCACATATTGTTCAAAGTAGCCGATACACCTATACAAACAGATAAGTAAAATGAACATGAAATCTATATAAAGCTTTCTATTGAAAAGAAAATGGATCACATTTGTATGGGAAATTACTTTTACTGTAAAAGAAATTGTATTAGTTACAGAAAGCTTAAAGACGTTTATCAGGTTAAGTGATGATACTCCCTCTTTAAGAATAAATGAGATAATAAAGCAGTATTTTGCCCATAACAAAATTTGGGTCAAGGAAATAATGAATCCAGATTTTCTCCTACCAATCTGACCAGCAACTACCTGTGTCCCCATTTCAAAATGTAGGTACGGTTGGATAGCATGCAGACAACTTTAAGCCACACTATCCAGGTTTATTGCTTTTATTACTTCCTTCATCTGAGTGAAAATCTATGATACAGATTTTCTTGAAAAGTTGACAGCTACTTAACTGGTCAAGATATTCCCTGATTGTACAGGATATGATGGCTCACAAAAACCAGCCAGCAGGTTCTATTCTGAGTCAGTACAGTTCAGTTCACCCCTCCACACTCTTTCTTTAAGATCCATCTCAATGTTATCCTTCTGTCTACAACCAAATCTCTGCTCTTCAGAATTTCCAACCAAAATTTTGAATGCATTCCTCACTTCCATCCCACATCTTCCTACATTTAATCACCCTTAGAAAATAAGGAACGTTCAGGTTGCATAGAAATCAGAGAGTTTCTTGGCCAGCTGAGCAACTATCAACTTGTCACAAAGACCCAACACATTAGTTACCATAGCAACAGTATAGTCTGATGAGGGATAAGATGCCATTAATGTTTTGTTAAGTAGGTACATAGTACGATTTGAGGTTCCCAAGATGAATATGAAGATTAGTGTCTTCTAGGCTGCAACACCATACAATGTAGTAAAATGGTATCAATGTTTCGTAGGAACATGCTGCCTCCTTCTTCAGTGCAGAAGAGAAAGTCATGTGGGAAAATGAGGGTAAAGATGTAAGTATATGATGAAGAAAACAGGGCTATGATACTTCTCACAACACTATGTACTATCCAAGCTTCCTCCTCATTGGAAGCAAATTTTCTCACCTCTTTCCTCCTCAAAACATTTTCCTTGCCTCCTGTCGCCTCAAATTTTTGGCCCCACCCTTTTATAAGCCATCATCTCCCCCTGGTCTACTCATAGTCCCACCTGCTCTCCTCCTTTCCCTACATCTGCACCCTTGTTTTCACACATGGCTTATTCTTCCACCCTGAAGATGGAGGCAGCAGGTTCATCCAAGACACTGGTACCTTTCCACTAAACTACATGGCATCACAACCCAAAAGACAATATTCTTCATAGACACATATTGTTTTTCCAATCCTTGCATATTTGAATGTCAGGCATGTGACAATAAGAAAGTGTTTGAAGAAACACTAAAGGCCAAAAATAGGATCAGGAAATCAGAATTCTTTCAGCTATTTGCCAAAGCTGCTTAATGTAACTTTCTGAAAATTTGCACTCACGCTTCAGCTACTTTGGAGACCTTAATATTGCGTCTGTCCAGTCTCTGTCTCAACATGGCTATGTGGCGTTTGATGGCCTCTGTTGGACTAGCTAAATCACTGTCTGATGTTGATGGGGATATACGCCCCCCTGCCACACCAAGCTGTAAATGTCGAATGCTCTTGAGTGGTTTATTGACCCGGCAAGCCTTCTTGATGTCAACTTCTGTTGTGTTTACACAGCCAGGCTGAAACGTGGTACACCTCAATCATTCTTCACGGACAAACTAGACTGGATATGATTCATACAAATTCTCTCAAATGATCAGTCATGTTATTACTGAGTGGTAAACCAGTTATAATGACAATTGTTACTGTTAATTGTTTTAGATATTAATTTTATATTACTGTATTTATTTGTGTAGAAACAGTTCCTTTAACTACTTCTAGGATGTGTAGCCTGGTAAATGGTTAGAAATGCATTCTTCTGTCCTGAAGATGGAAGCAACAGAGTCCTAAAAAATGTTAGCACCCATCTACCAAGCTACACAGTTTCACATCTCACAACAACATAATCTTGACACCTACAATATACAGATTGGTGCACAAAATGATCCAGTATTTGATCTAGTATTAATTATTCAACCATGCAATGAACAATGTTTTGTAACACAGTAACACTTACAGTAGATCATGGAGATTAGTTCTTACTCTTTCTGAGTGCGCTCTGATCGCGCTTTCCTTGCTCATGTGCCAGTTTACACAAGATGGCTGACAAAGGAAGACTGCCTGTAGAACAACACATAAAACCAGTATTGTTCTTTACTGAAACAAGAAGTTTTGTGGTCACACAGAGGTGGTTTTGTGCTCATTTTCAAATTCAATGGGCACATTCATTCAAAACAATTCATAAACTTCATAACCAGTTTAATAATGATGGTTCAGTGTTTGAGAGGAAACATCACCGGCCTTCATTTGTGCATTCTCAGGAAAACACTGACGCTGCCAGAGTGGTGCTGCAAAGAAGCCCCACTAAATTAACAAGGAAGGCTGCAGCACAACTACGGATATCCAGGTGATCAGTCCAGTGAATATTGAAAAGTGATTTGAATTTGTATCCATACAAAACACCAGTGTTGCCTAAACTTACAGTACAAAACAAACATCAAAGGATGGCATTTGCTGAATGGGATCAGAATAATGAGGTATCATTCAACAATGTTTGGTTTTCTGATGAGGCACACCTCCACTTGAATGGGGTGGTTAATAAAAAAATGTGCGATTTTGGGCGTCAGAGAAACCGTGTGTGATTCATGAGAAGGTGCATCATGCACCGAGAATTACAGTGTGGGTCGCCATCTGAAGTATGGATTGCTAGGGCCAATTTTCTTTGAAGAGACAGTGAGCAGTGAGCGCTATTTAAACATGTTGCACAATACTTTTGTGCCTCACCTTCTTGCTACAGGTTTGCCATTACAAACTCAGTGGTTTATGCAGGATGGAGCCAGGCTGCATGCAGCAAATGTTTTGGATTTTCTGCAGGACACTTTTGACTCATGTCATCTCAAACCAATTTCCTAATCATTTCACATGTGGACATAACTGCCCCCAAGTAGTCCTGATTTAAACCCATGTGAATATTTCCTTTGTGGATTCCTTAAGGAAAAGATTTTTCTGAAAAGAGCCACAACAATAATGGAATTAAGAGCACTAATCATTCAGGCCTGCAACGAGATAACTGAGGATATGTGCCATCATGTACTCAACATTATAATTCGTGTTGAAGAAGTTGCCAGACGTATTGGTGGTCATACTGAACACTTGATTCACAAAGGATAAATCTCCATGCAATCGTCTTTCTTTTTGTACGTTAGTTTTTAGTATTGTAGTTGAAATAACGATTTTATTAATAGACTAAATATTAGATTCTTTCATGCACCACCCTGTACATTCAAAGCATGAGGATATAATACAACCACTATCCTCCAAGAAAGAGAAGGTGAGGCAATTACTAAGGTTCATCCATATATATAACATAAATTGAAAGCATCAGCATGCTTTCTGGAGAACTTCCATTACTGCTGGTACACCGAACCTCAAGATGATCCTAAATGTATAGTAAAATGTTAAAACATTATCACTTCTATCCACAACTTGCCTTGCTTTCTCTTCTTTTGAGTATAATAAATGACATGGAACTTGGGACAACATGTAAAACTGACCATTGGGCGATGGACATCCCAGAAAGCACGCTCCTGGCTGTCTAACACCTTGCGCTCGAGTTTATCTCGCTTCTTGTCCACCTTGCTTTGTGCCTCTGCCTGCATGAAGATGAACTCCCATTTGCGGGAGAACATCTTCTGGAGACGAGCAAGGTTCTCTGCTTCATAGTCTGCCAGTTCCAACCGTGTCTTATTTTGCATGGTTCGCTTGCAGAGATACACAGCTGCCAACATACCAATACAGACATATCTGTGGGGCTTACAAAAGGGTGTACATCTTTCCTGGAGCAATTCACTTCTCAGCCAATTACAAAAACATGAACATTCATGTGAGTGTCTCAGGCAGGAACACTTCTAAGTTGTATTTTGGAGGTGTCCAGTTTGAATCTTGGCTAGGATAGGAACTATCCTGTCTGAAGTTTTGTATAGTTTTTCTCAGTTCCCTAAGGAAAATGCCAGGATATTACCTTATATCAGGCAATGACTGCTTCCTCTCAATTAATTATTCACTAATCATCCTACAATTCAGTGCTATATTGTCTGAGCTACTGACAGAATCGTTAAATATTTCATAAACAAATAGAAAAATTAATATTCGTATCTAATGAAATCCTGTCATTACAAAACATACCATAAAAGCAGAGCTACTCATATATCTTCAAAAATACAGAATTGGATGAATTGAATGCAACTGTGCTGATATTGGTACAAAAAATTAACAATTCCTGCTCCTGATATACTTTCATATCTCTTCAGTACTCTGTTTGCATGAGCTTCAAGACCTATCACAGTTGCCAGATTTCCATATTATCAGAAGTTGCTGAATCACATTCATACTATCTCTGTTATGTTTTTCTTCATCTGTAAATATAAGATGACCCTCCTTTTTTTTTTTCAAATGAAAAATGAAAGAACAAGAACTTCATGTTAATCAAAGTCCTATGAATAAAATCAAATCCAATTTATGTAACCTCTACAGGGAAGTAGGGAGCACACAGTAGCACAGTGGGTTGAGGCACCACACTACAGGCTGGAAGGTCATGGGTTTGATTCACGATGAGGTCACTGGATTTTTCAGTTGGCTTAATCTTTCCAGCTGTGCTATGGCCTTGGGGCTGACTCAGCCTGGCACTTCACCTATTGGATGAGGGGCTGTGTGGGTGGCCAGAGCCAGTGTGGATACTATGGGGAAGAGAAATCTCTTGCCCCTCCTGGGAACAGAACACTGACACCTCAGTAATCCAGCCTGTAGTCTAGTCTCTGTACCAACTGAGCTATCCCTGATGGTAAATATGGTAACTTTGCAAGTACAAAATGAATTATGACCCCACAAAACAAACACATATGTGATCTGACAGAAGTAAGAAACAAACCATTGACTTACACCATCTGGAGGGACATTCAGAAAATTCAGTAAACTGATCCACTTACCGTAATCTGTGTTTTCAGGTTCCCAGCAATTGGACGGCCAGAAATATGGTGTCTGTTGAATGAAACATGAGCATTAGTTTCAAACAAGAAAACAATACTTTGTTATAATGTAAAGCAGATATATGTCCTGCAAGGGACCAAGAACCTGACAATTAAAATGTTGTATTGGTAACTATATATACATTCCTTGAACTGCATGCAACAGGAGTGACCAAACTTCTGCAACAGTGGGAATCGAGATAACAATACTTTGAAGTTCAGGAGCCCAGAGAGATGCAGATTGGATGGCACAGGTGTTCAAGTATATGCTTTCCATGAAGCAGACTTTTTTATGTTTAATTCAATAGTAAAAAGAGAATATTATTATGGAGAATCTGAAGATGCTAAAGAACATGAAACAAGATTGTTTATATTGTCACGTGTCTGAGTGGCACTACAGATGGGATTTTGGGTGGGATATTAGATTTAGTGACCACTAATGCACACAACGCAAAACTGTATGCAATTATAGCACTACTGCTGATCTCCACAAATCACAAATCATCTCAACACCCCTTAAGTATTTTCTAGCCTGCTGTGTCTTCACCAGTCATTCTCTGGCAACGGCTCCTAACATTGGAGATTCTTCAGCTTCACGCCCTCAAGTCCATTCTGAAGGGCGGTTCCCTTCCAACTGTCTCTTTTCCTCACAGACTCCCATACAGAACTGGCTTGGTAACCCCAACTGTCTTCATTATAACCCCTGTGCATGGACCAAGTAGAAAACACCGTTTCCAACAGTGCAAGCTGTTACCTAGAAATGAATGTTGTTTTAGAGCCATTCACTAGCAAGTACTGCTTCTCTGGCTCCACAGTTCTTGCTTTGAGCAAATATGCCACAATATCATGGTCTTCCAGGCTATGATACCATGTAATTTTATTATTGTTTACCAATGTTTCAGAGGGACATACTACCCCCACTTTCACGCTAAATCATGTAGGCAGACGGTTCCTCTGAAACACTGGTAACCACCCACCAGACTATATGCTGTTGTAACCTCCTCATTGGAAGGAAATTTTCTCACCTCTTTCTTCCTCAAAACCTTTTCTTGCCTCTTTTCCCCTCAATTTTTGGATCCACCTTTTTATAAGCCACCATCACCCACTGGTCTGCTTGCAGTCCCACCTGCTTTCCTCTTTTCCATAGATCTGCACCCTTGTTTTCACACATGGCTTACTCTTCTACCCTGAAGATGGAGGCAGCAGGTTCATACAATACACTGGTACCTTTCTACTAAACTGCATGGCATCACAACCCAGAAGACAATATTCTTCATAGACACATATTGTTTTTCCTATTCTTCTTGCATATTTGAATGTCAGGCATGTGACAATAAGAAAGGGTTTGCAGAAGAACACTAAAGGCTACAATAGGAACATATTACGTTCATCTTCATGGTAAATGATGAAGGCAGGGGGTTCCTCTGCAACACTGGTAACCACCCACCAGACTACACGATGTCATAACCCAGAAGGCCATAATCTAAATTTTCACCACCATGAAAACCTCAAATCCTATGACAGGCAGGGATGCCAACTGACCTGAAACCGGTAGAATGTGTTATCATTCTTCACAGTTAGCATGTGGTCATCAATGGGAAAGAAGTAACCGTGTGCTGCCATCAGATGGGCCAGGTGCAAAGCTTCTCCTATCAAAGAAAAGAAAAAAAAACAAAACATGACTTTCAGGTTCACTGCTACAGACAGCTGTAGGACCTAAACAACCATAAGAATCCCTGGATACAGATAAGAAACTACATGCATCACGGTCCTTCAGAAGCTAATAGTTGCTTGCTAGTCAAAAAGTTACCAGCCCTATACAAAACCCTATTATTTATTATTATTATTATTATTATTATTAGAGGGGGTGGGTTTCCCCATGCACTTAGACCAGTTATTGGTCCATTGTGCGTCCCCCTTTAATTTCTACTGTCGCCATACCCTACCGGTACTGGTGCGTGCTATCAGCCCCGTTCAGCCAACGAGGTCGGCAGTTGGTACCTGATATTTCCTCCATCTACCAGAGGCATTGGAAATTACTTGGGCAGGAAATTGTTGCCTAATTTTGCTCAGAGGGCTCCTAGAGACATGAGGATCTTTTACGTGCCGTAAATCTATGACACGGGACCCACGGCTTAAAATCTCTCCCGGAGGACTTGTTCCCTGAATTTTTCCGCCCTTAAAAATTCCACGACCTCTGCCGGGTTTGAACCCGCATACCTTGAGTCATGAGGTGGGAACATTACCCCTAGACTACGGAGGCCGCTTTATACAAAACCCTAAGGAGCATTACTGTGTTCACAAGAGTGCATCACTGGTTCATATACTGAGACAAGAATACCCAAACTCAGTTACAGAGCTCTTAAAGCTAGAAACAAAAAGATTTCTGCAAGGCATCTGTTACTTCATAAACAACATTCCTATATTTATGTCTATAAAATAGATATGTAAGTAAAGTAAAAGAAGTAACTGTACAGTTTATTAATAGGATACTTTCAGATTTAAGTTAAAATCTATATTAAGAATTGTGAGGAGACCGCTGTAATAGAATAAGATGTATATAAGAATGTGCTACAGAAGGCCGGACGTGCATTGCCTAGGCCTTTTTTATTTTTTCAATAATCCCCCCCCCCAAAAAAAAAACAAACAAACATATCTGGTGAACAGCCTCAAATCTAAATGGTCTTGACAATAGCATATTGCACCTGTGACTACTGGGTTTCTGGACTTTGTACACTGTCTAGTATTCTGAACATGACTACAACCAGATGGTTCAGGTAGGAACCATCTCTGATTTGTATTTGGTAAGTGATACTTTAAATCCTGGTACAGTGACCAACTAAACTTACTGAGATTTTCTGTCCCTTCAGACAAATGCCAGGATAATATCTTAAACTAAGTTGTGATCACTTCTTTCCACATTCTTTCCAATTCATTAACATCAAATCATTCAGTATAGTATACCTGTATAGTTTGAGTTACTGACATTAAATCAACTACAAAACAAGAACACAATGTTTAGTACCCTGGATCTGTTTCTATCCTCAGGTGAAAAGGCAGGGAGGCATCAACTTGGTTGTATCTAACAGAAAGTGCTAATCTCATCATTTGAGAGCTAGACATTGAGGTTATCTCTGTACAGTGGATGTAAATATACCTCCTTACCTTTTAACCTGAGTATGGAAAGCAGATGTAGTTTCCAATGCACTGTGTTATGTTATGAATAATAAAATATTGCCATAGTCCATAAACCTAATTATACTAATCCTCACATCAGAATTCTTTAAGAAGCATCTTAATATTACCTCTCCCATCTATACTAAGGTTTATCAAGAGGTCACTTCCCTTGAAGCTTTAAGACTAGAATTTTGTATATACTTCTCACCTCAGCCACTGTGCCTGATATTGCACCACAAACTTACCTTGATCTTCAACATCTAAATTCTTCATCATCCACATAATAAGGTCAGAACCTGCACACGAACACAATACACCAGAATAATACAACACAGCTCCAAAACACAACATTAAACATTTGCAACAGTTATAACAATTAAACCTCAACAAATTTTCTACATATCCAAATGCTAATTCCAAAAATTAGTAGCCACAATTGACATTGAAAGAGATATGATTCATACACACTCTCCACGATTTAAACATCTCTGGGCTTGCCTGTATATGACATAGCCAGCCTGAGCAGAAACAAAAGGATAAACCACTGCCACCAGACCATTCCAACTTCAAATGTTGTAATGAGCAGTCAAGGGCTCATTATACACATGCACACATAGGGCTGTGTTAGAGGTCCTGCTACATATTCTCATTCTCAAAATTGGTTGAGCAGCTGGACTAATTTCAAAAATATCACATACATATTTTCAACATGCTATAACATTGACCAGCGAGTCTAGACTGTATTGCAGCATTATAATCACATCTTTTTGAAAGGACCAAGACACTAATCATATTTTTTGGTCCATATGAATCGCAACACATTGAAATCCACAGTTCAGAGAGATGAAAACATAATTCTTAAAGTACAGTCTTAAATAGGAAAATAATTCAAGTATGCCTGCTACCCACCTGTAAAAACTGAAGGAATTTTTGACATGAAACTTTTGACGGTCTTGACAGGTACACCACTTACTTCATCCTGCATTTTCTCAACAATCTGTTCCATCTGCAGAAACATAAACCACACAATGGCAGTGCAACATATGCAAAATGTAGAACTTAATGTCTTAAAATTAATAATAACTATAAAACAGCATAGTGAAAGATCTGAGGTTCATATGGCAATGATTATAAAGACTGCAGTCCTCTGGGATGTGATGCCATGTAATTTGGTACATAGCTACCAAGGTTCTAGAGAAACCTGCCACCTTCATCTTTGGAGCATGAGAGTGAGACCTCCTACACTCCATGAAATTCAACAATGGATATTGAGGCAGAGTTCTCCCAAAATGCTGGCATCAGTCTACCAAATTACAAAGCATCACATCCTAGAGGAATGTAACCTAAATACTCACCACTGTGGGAAGCTCATATTTCACACAATCAGGAATGTAATGCATTTAGTAAAAGTATATGGATAGTTAAATCAGTCAGTACAATTACAAGGCTACAGGCTGGGTGACGAACAAATCCTGGTTCAACTCCCAGCAGGAGGTCATTCCCTTCATCACAGAGTACTGGGGGTTATTTCTGTGTGGGTAAAGCATCTGGGGTATGAAGCTAACCAATAACCTCCAATCAGTGTCAACATTAAAAATGCATTGAGTTATACTTCACTCCCCCACCCATCCTCATGGGGTGGGTCTTAATTGAGCAAAGGGGTGTTACCTTCATATTTACCTATGTTCATTATATATCTGGGGAGCTCAGTCAGTATATGCTTATGAGGCCATGGGCCAGATGACCAGAGAATCAGAATTCAATTCTCAGTGAAGGCAGAGATTTCCTCTTTTCCACAGCACTGCAACTAGGCCGTGAGGCTCACCCAGGCTACTATTCACTAGGTACATGGGTGTATAGTGGCCGAGGCATGATGCTAACCACACCCTTCCACCTAGCTCCAGAGTGATGCCTATATAGTACCAAACCCTTACTTTTACAAGCTCAATATAAGGTGTACACACTGTAAATTAAAACAGTGTTTCACTTCATCCCAGCCACATACTTTTTTGTACACGAGTTGGTTTGGTGAATCCTCATTGTTAGAGGCTGCCGCCGCTGAAGCCCCGGACCCTGCTGCTGGCCCTGCTTGGCCACCATTATTGGAGTCTGCCTTGCGCCGGGCGGCCGCCTTCTCGGAGCTCATGGTGACCATATCACTCGGGGCCCACGAGCCGCATCGCCCTCCTGCAAACAGTGCTGACAATGAGTGACTTCTCCTTAGGTTGCTTAATGCCACTGTCTAAACTGCAAAGGATATATAGTACCAAACTGGATGTGAAAGTAATCATGATCTGATTTAATATAGAGAATGTCCCAGAAAATTTTTTAAGATATTGAATTCCCACTGTCTTTGGCATTGCAGATCAAGTTTGGCTGAAAATGATGAAAATTTTGAACTTCTCTAATATGAAAAATTGAATGGAATTTCTGTATTATCATTTCTACATGCTATTGTAGTTTTCTGCTATCAATGTGCTATAAGGAAAGGATGACCCCATAAAGAGAAAGTATGGTAACATTATTTTGGGATGCTCTGTACATAAGAATTCTGTTCTGTTTTATCTGGTTCTTGTTTCATACCATGGACTTAATACAGAACAACCAGAGGTATTACGAAATTTACTCCATTCCCTTGCCAATATATACAGTAGCCATGGCTGTTAAAGTAATGTGCAAGTATTTTGGTAGTCTCTGGATGAGATTCAAATCCTTACTCTAAACCTTTTTTTAATTGCAACAGTAGATTTTATTTCTTAATTTGAATTTTATTGCTTCTTCAAAGAGTTAGCTACTACAGATTGCTGTACCGATGGAGAAAGCAACCACATTCTGGGCAAATAACAGGTACTACTTCTAGTGGAGGTACATACACAGTGTGTCCAGGTTCTGTTAGGCCTGTGTTCATTAAAAATACAAGACGTGAATTATTTTCAAAATTTCACTCTTTTTATTCAAAATAGTCTCCTTCTGAACCAATACATAGCTGGAATCGATTGAAAAGTTTCTGAAAACAGTCACTGCACTCCTTTTGTGGAATCGCATTTAAAACTGCAATACATTCCTTTTGGATGTCCTGGATGGTGTCGTAACGGTCTCCTTTCATCGCCAACTTAACTTTTGGGAACAACCACAAATTGCTGGAACCAAATCTGATGAATACAGAGGATGATCAAGGACTGTGATCCCTTTTCTGGCCAAAAAATCGCGTACAATATTCAATTTGTGGGGTGGGGCATTGTCGTGGAGGAGCGACCAAGAACCTTGCTCTTGATATTGATGTCGAATTTGAAGAATTCTCACCCACAAACGATTGAGGACTCCAAGATAATAATCAGAATTCATTGTTTGACCTTCTGGCAGAAATTCCTTGTGAATGATTCCTTTGGAATCGAATAAAACGGTTAGCAGTGCCTTTACTCGACTCTCTTGCATGCGCACTTTCTTTGGTTTCAGCTTCTTTGAGCTCAACTATGCTGCACTCTGCCGCTTTGTGAGAGGCTCATATTGAAAACACCATGTCTTGTCACCAGTAACAATCGATTTTGTAAATTTTGTATCACTTTGGGCCGACTGTAACATGTCTTTGCAGTGTTCCACTCTGGCATGTTTTTCATCGCCTGACAGCGCGTGCGGTACAAACCGCGCACAGACCTTCCATTTGCCCAAATCCTTGGTCAAAATTTGATGCACAGTACTTTTTTGGTATTCCTAAAAGCTCCTCGAAGAGTCTTGCAGAAACACATCTGTATGATGCATGGATTTCGGTCACTTTTTTCACATTTTCTTCAGTGCGACTTGTTCTCGGCTTTGATGCACATGGAGTGTCTTCAATGTCCTCCCTGCCGTCACGAAATACAGCGTACCATCGAAAAATGTTCAAGCGACTGAAACAATCACTACCGTACACATTTTTCATTATTTCATACACTTCTCCGGCTGTTTTGCCTAACTTACAAAATTTTATGTTCACTCTCTGTTCAACCTCCTTTTTCCGACAAGCATCAGAACAGTATTGTTACATTCAAGGTCAGAACACATGATGCAGCGATGCTTGCGCTTTGAAATTATAGACAGCCACAGCTGAAACTTCAAGAATCTTAATGCCACAACTCGACAGCAGATGGCATTGCAGGGTATATATAAAAAAAAGTTCTAACGGATCCTGGACACACCATGTATGAAGATACTGACCTGGTAGCCACCGTGTATGTGAGTAACTAAAGAAAATTATAAAAACCTCAGTCAGAAAAATGGTAATGTGGCCAAGGTTGATATCGGGTATATATACCTCAAACACAAGTTTACAGCATTATTGCTTTGTTACAGAGAAGACAAATATAACCACTATACCTTTGGTTGTTTCTGTGAAGCAAGCTAGATTAACTTTATTGGAACCAAGATGATATTTTAAGCCTAAACTGCTTTATTATGATATAAACACAGAGAAAAGGATAACAAGAATATAACATGACATTTTTACCTCTGATTTCTCTGAAACATGAAGCTTACCTAAACAATATTTCAAATACAGTTCCTGCTATTCAGTTACAAAGACCAGTCTATGCTAAATGTCGTTTAAGATTAAAAATTGAAATATATTTCAATATGATGTATAACAAACAAAAAACAAGAGAAATATTTAAGAGATACTCCGTGTGATATCAGTAGGATGAACAAACTGTCTCCAAGCAGAGATCTGAACCTGAGACCATATGAATATAAAGTGGGAATTCTACCCACTGAAAGTGACATTCAGTAATTAAAAATGTTACTGAATTCCAACTTACCAAGTGTTTGAATCAAGAATGCATACTACAAAATATGCAAATAAAAGAAAATTACAGACATATGACATGCATTTTTTACCGAGTTCAACATCTTCTGGGATGCGATCCCATGTAGTTTGATACACAGTTATCAAGTTTCAGAGGAACTTTCTGCCCCTATCTTCTGGGCAGAAGTGTGAAACATACTGTCTTCTATGATGTGATACCCTGTAGTCTAGTAAATAGTTAGGAACATTCTGGAGTGGAATGTTACCTCCAGCACAGAAGAGTCAGTTTCTAGCTTATTCTGAAACACTGGTACCTAGTACCCAGACTACAGAGTGTCAGATCTTAGAGGGCAACAATTTTCAATGTCACTGTTCTAAGAACTCCAAATTTCTCATTGCAATGGAATTTAAAGTTTTCTGCTTATATTCATAGTTATTTCTAAGACACATCACACTTTTATACATAGAAATTAATAATTTTTCGAAAATATTGTCCATTTTTGCTGCAATTAACTTCCTGGAGCTGAGCCTTCCTTGAGAAGCCGCCAATTATGCAGCTACTCAGGAACTGTCAAGCATATTACGGAACCTGAAGGTTCATTACTGTGTTCACGAGAGCCCTCCACTGATCCCTATCTTGAGCCAGATTGATCCAGTTCATACCACCCCATCTTATTTCACTAAGATGCGTTTCAATATTGTTCACCAACCTATATCTTAGCCTTCCTAGTGGTCTATCTCCTTCGGGCTTTCTCACAAATATTCTATATGCATTCTGCTTCTCCACTATTCATGCTATATGCCCTTCCCATCTCATCCTCCTTGACTTGATCATTCTAATTATACTTGGTGAAGATTACAAGTTATGAAGCTCCTCATTATGCAGTTTTCTCCAACCTCCTATCACTTCATCTCTCTTCGGTCCAAATATTCTCCTTGGCACCCTGTTCTCAAACACATTCAATCTCCCTTAATGTCAGAGACCAAGTTTCACACTCATACAGAACCATAGGCGAATGCTGTAGCAAACACAAAATGAAACCGGTTAGATTCTATATTCTGTACTTCCTATGTAACGAGACATCTCAGAAATGTTTCCATACACAGTAGTGCACTGTATTTCTGTGATGTCATGCGGAAATCATGAGAAGACAATGCTTTCTGTTGTTTCCTTAGCTTGTATTTGTGTCCACATCTTGTAGGTGGCAGACCACTCTGGAACACATTAAGTGTCTGCTTTCGGCACCATTGCCCCAAGCCATGTTGTGGCTCATTGTAAAATGGGGGTTCAATCCCAGGATTCATGGTGGAAAAAAGTCGCCTTAGGACAGAATGTTCTTTGAGTTTCTTCACACTGCCACCGCTAAGCGTCATTCTGCCACTGTTCCATACTAACATATCGCTGCTCCCTAACGTGTGCAATAGCCCTAACCAGGTAGTAAAGGGTGTTCAATCGTCGAGGAAATCTGGCCACAGTGCTAACCGGGAACAACATTCCTCACAGATTGCTGCTGTAATTGCTGATAGCGGAATAAGTCATCAGCGCTGATAAACGCGCGCAATCTCGCTAGCGTAGAGCGGATGGATCGTTTCTCCGCGACTACTGTGCCCTTCCCCGCTAGCGAGAGAGCAGTCGTGTCGCAGAGTCCCTCACATCAGTTTCTATACATGCACACATTTATAGGAATACTGTAAAAAGATAACACACACTCACCATGCTTTATAACAGGTGTTGGAAGTGACTCCCTTCTGCTTGCAAACATGCCTCGCATCGCATAAATAAATTATACGACATTTTCTTAAGTTCGTCCACGGCAATTGAACTAATTAAGCGTGTTATTTCACTATGCAGAGCTTCAGTGCTGCGAGGATTATTCTTGTAGACTTTTTCCTTTAGGTTTCCCCAAAGATAAATATCGCAAAAACTGAGATCTGGGAGGCCACAGTCCCCTACTGATTATTCTCTTTTCAAACACTTCCTATATTGCGACCATGAATGAATTTGCCGTATGTGCTGTGGCGTTGTCTTCCTGAAAATGCCCATATTGTCTTTCTTCAGCAGTCAGCTGTTTGAAGGACGGATTCAATATATCATTAACGTAGCGGTCAGAGTTCAAGGTTTCGAGGAAAAATAAGGGGCCAGTGATTCGCCGCGGATTTACATCACACGACACCCCCACCTTTTCACTATGTAATGACACTTGCTGTATAGCGTGAGGATTTTCATCGCTCCATATTCTTACATGTTGTGCATTGACATGATCATTAACGTGAAACCACACCTCATCAGTCATGAACAGAAGCTGTGGATCCACGACTCCATCGTGCACATTGTGTAACAGCCAGTTACAAAAACGAATTCTTGCTGTATAATCTGGTTGTTTCAGCTCATGCACAACTATTATTTTATACGGGCGAAATCTGATTAATTTTGTGGCTGTGAAAGCAGATCCTAGCAAAACACCGGTTCCCTGTGCTATGTGTCTTAACGATTTTCGAGGACTGGTCTAGAGTCGTGCCGAAATTTTGCTTCAGTCAGCACAATCCTCTTCGATTGCTTCTTTACGTCACACACTGAACCTGTGCCCCGCCACTTTCTCACAAGCTTGCATAGACACAACTTTGTAATTCTGTAATTTTTTTCTTGTGAATGTCTCGACAATAAACACAAGCTATTCAGTAGTGAACTTCATTTCAGTATAAACGTCGACGGCCTATCGACATCTCTAACACAGACTGACTATTAATGCGACTTAACTACAGTGACAAGATCACACCACCCGACGGTGTGCGTTTATCAGCGCTAATGACTCATTCTGCTATCGGCAGTTACAGCAGCCATCTGTGAGGAATGTTGGGCCCGGTCAGCGCTGTAAAAATTTTCCTCCTTCATTGAACGCAGTGTATATTGTCACATGTATGAGTGTGACTTCAGACGGGTTTTGGATTGATGACTTGATTTATTGCCTACTTTGATACAGTGCGTGACCACACTTTACAGTTCATTATTACACACGCATATGCAAGCACGCACGCACGCGCGCACACACACCAGTGCCCACAGTCATGTCTTCACTGCCATTGCTTGGTAGCAGCTTCCAACGGCAGACGTTCCCCTTCCGCTGGGTTTCCGAACTGTCCCCAGCCTCAGCTACCAACTTCTAGCAGTAACAGCTCACGGTGACTGCGCCCCACGAGTCCTCCGACAGACTGTAAATGCCAACTGTTCCTGGTTATAACATCTTGGCACAAACCGCGTCAAAAACGTGTCTTCTATTATTGCTGTGTTCTCTCGTTGCCATGGATACATGCTTGTTTGAGGAACCATTACTTAGAAATGGCCTTTGTATAGTTGCTTTTTTTTTACAATGGTTGCCTAGTAATGGGTCTACATGCCACAATATTATCACATCCTCAGTTTTCAAGTGGGAGGGTTCATCTCTGGCCTGGAATTTGGCTGGTCACAGAGTGAGGGTTGTATCTTTTAAGTTGCTAGCATTCCTGCTTTGTATACGGGAGATCTCTGACGACATTCTCAAGAGTTAGGAAGTTGGCTCAAGTGTAATGCATCTGACTTGTATTCAGGAAGTGACTGGTATGAATCTTACCCAGGACACCAACTCCCCTGAACAAGCTTCTTGTGGTCTTCCCAAGTCCTTCTAGGCAAATGCCGGTACAGTAACTCAAACTAGGCCATGACCACTTCCCTTCACATCCCTTCCAATTCATCGTTTACTAATCATCCTACTATTCAATGCTACAATTCTTTCAGACCCTAAATGTACAACTGTGAGCGTCATGTCGCTGTACCAGAGAGAAAGAAATTGATGATGTAGGAAAAGTAGTAGCAGTGGCAGTAGAAGAAGAAAAAGTAAGATGATGGAGGAGGGGGAGATTAAGAGAACAAAAAATGGGAGGAAGGAGATACTGCCACAGCAGATAAAGATGATAAAAAATAGCTTTCATTTGAAATGGGTATGATCCTGACAATGTCCATAATAAACAACAGATAAAGTTATGCATGGAGCTGCCGGGACAGCTCAGTCACTAAATAACTTGGCTGGGCCGTGCCATAGCTCAAGCGGTTAGTCGCCGGCTTCTCACCGGGTTCGAGCCCGGATCTGGTCAAGTGGGATTTGTGGTGGACAAAGTGGAGCTGGGGCAGGGTTTCTCCGAGTACTTTGGTTTCCCCTGCCAATCTTCAGTCCACCAAATTCTCCATCATCATAATCACCCGGAGCAGGTACAATAGGCCAATCACTTGCCGCCGTGCCGAGTGGACCGTGCTGGACTCCACCCCCCCCCCACACTATGCGAATTAAAAAAAAAGTAACTTGGCTGACGTCTGGACAACCAAGGAGTCAGAGTTTGATACCCAGCAGGAGCAAGAGACTTCCCTCTTCTCCATAATGTTCAAGGGTAAAATGGCAGGGGAGTGAAGCTGGTCACTCACCTCCGTCTAATGCCAAGGTCAAGAATGGTGGAGCTACACATCCACTCCTTCATACTTCTTCACGGCGTGGTACCTAATTAATTAAGCCAAGGAACGACTTTTACTTCAAACCATAAACTGTCCATGGTCACACGCAATTTTATTTAACATTCTGATGCAGGTATCCGTACTATGATGTATGGAGCAATCACATACGTCATAAAAGTACCCAACTAAGGCTAATGTGAGTACCTTACTTAGTCCTCTTGTTTTGTCGGATGAGCATAAACAGTCTTAGGTACTGGGTATTCGTTGGAAGGGGCGAGAAAACCCATAAACGTCCTCAATTAATACTGCAAGTACGGGCAGACATTTGATCTAATGCATTCCCTTCATCTTCTGGTCGAATAGTAGGCGAAGCAGGTGGGAGGCAGAGTAATTCGCTCCGAAACGTCACCGAACTTCTATTGGACTACACGGCGTCACATTCAAGAAAAGAGTACTCTTGATAGTCACCGCTATGCAAACCTCAAACCCGACACAAAAATAACTAAAACCTCAGACAGATCTCGAAGGTTCATCAAAGCTGGACATTTGACACGACCCTGAGCCAGTTAAATCTAATTCCCATCTTTATGTTATCCTCCGACTTTATCTCCTCCAAGCGATCTCTCCTTCTAAGAGATTTCGTCACCAAGACTCGAATCGCCAAGTGTTTCCCGCATAAATCTACATGGTCAGCCCTTAACAGCTTCCTACCTTGCACCCTCCTAACATTATTAGGTGACAGGTGTATGTTTTAGCGGCTTATGTTATTGCGCTGTCAGTACCTTGACCGCACAGCGTCGAATTGTAGGATGACTGATTAGTTGTAAAGAATTTGAAAGGATGCGGAAGTGGCCTACAAGAGGTACCATCCCGTTATTTGCCTGGAGCTACAGAGGAAAGCCACGTAAACAACCAATCACATCAGTGGGTATCCGGCTGAGGTTCGAACCCAAGATTTCCTAAATACATGTCTACAGCGTTACCGCTACATTATTCTGATCGGTATGACCGGTGCAAATCAAGGAGTTCCTCGTTATGTAATACCCCCAACTAACCATTTATTTCATCCTTTCCAAGACCAAGTAGACTTCTGATCAGTTCGTTTTCAAACACACTCAGAGTAACGCGTTTTACACCCATACAAAGCTACTCTTAAAATGTACTAATGCGAGTGGATGGGTTGGCTTGGCTTACAAGTTCCCTCCAGGCCTACGTACGGCGACTTTCTCTGCTTGCTGCGTGCTCCGTGTTGGTTTTTTATTTCGCTTACTGCCTGACTCTGAAGACGGAGTAGATGTTTCTCCGAAACATCGGTTTACTGTCACTGGACTACATAGCGTTATGTACCGGAAGACACAACCCCTTTAACTGATACAATGTGTTAGTCTCAGGTCAATTATGAACCATTCACTTTAAACTGTTTAAGACTAATTTATTTAATTGGATTTTTGGTTCTTACGGCTATGACTATATGTCTATGGGATGTGGCGCCATGTAGTGTAGTAGAAGTGTACCGATGTTTCGGAAGAACGTACTGCTTCCATCTTCCGAGTCGAAAGGTACGCCAGGCAAGCAAACAGCAAGTACTAAACAGTACTGGTTTGGTAAAATAATGCACAGACGTACTATGCAACTACCGAAAATACATACAGCAGTGAGACATGGGCATGGGGTGACAAAAGAAGTAGATGCGAAATGCGCGAGAAAATTGTTTATGATTATGCGGTGATGCATCTGTAGTGTGCTTCTTTTGCAACAATAGAACTGCGTCTGAAATAAATGAAAACGAAAGCCAGTGTATTTCGAAAATCTGCATTCACTAAAGGAACGCGCCCTTCCCACGCCATAAATTATTAAGATCTCTCTGTAGTAAAACAGTGAATACTGTAATCACAGCCCTGATTTACATGACAATTCACGGCAGGCGTAAAACTAAATAACCACATCTCGCCTATTTAACGGAAAAGCAATTATCATTATCCTTCCTTTTGTCTACTGGCGACGGTCCCGTTCAGACATAATCTTATCGATTGAAACTCGTCTCGACATTCTTGTTCCGGAAGGTGGACTTCCTTCCGAACCAAAGTCACGACCGCCACGACTTCCCGTGCGCTGTTAATAGGCAGCAGGGCACCGCGATGCTTCATTCTATGGACTGGCTCAAATAACAAACACATAAAATAAAAGCGACCAACATCATCCAAATCAACTCTTGGCACGGAAACCAGAAACGTTTTCAAGGCAACAGATTTAATTGCTTATCCGATTTGGACAAGAATGTAACTTAAAAGAATGCCACTGCAAAATCACGCCACTCCGTTGGGCGACGAGCCGGCATTCTACTTGTGTTTGCAATTTATGACCCAGCAAAAGGAAATGCTCCATTTTTATTACAGAAGAGCAGTCGAAGCTAATATATGGAAGGGTGTTTATAATGGGAAACAAAACATACCGTTCGTATAATCTCAAACGTTCAGTTTACGAACTAATAAATATTCTCCCAGTGATGTAAAGAAATCGACATAATATTTCGATGTATTCCACGGCCATGGGTGCAAATCGACGTCTTCTTCCTTGTAGTCTTATGAAATTCAGTGTTGGTCAGGTGCCAACTGTAAATATACACACTGCAGGAGGAAAATACACATTACTCTTTTCCCAAAATAAACACGACTAGCTCAGTTTTAGTCCGTGAGAAATGTTGGTTTTCGTTTTGTGTGCACAGAAGACCAAGTACGGATGATACAGACCCTGTTCCCACGCCTATATGTTCACGTTTTAGATCTCCTGTCAATTCACACGAAACCTCCACTTCCATTTATAAACAACAAACCATGTTAGTAACTGGTTATTATAAAAGGGAAAACAATCTCTCCCCCGGCAAAAATGAGCGCAATAGAAAAAAAGACAAGGCCAAAGAACTTGCCGCTTATGCGAAAGGGGTAACCCTGGCCCGGACCAAACAGCTGAACGGAGACGAATTATTACGAGGCTGGCCGAAATAGCCCGAACTAATTGATCGATACTGGAATACCAAAGAGGGTCAGAGACGAAGACAAGCTACATCTTATGATATTTATGACAGTTTCATACAGTCACCTGAATACGCGAGGCGTCATTGTAACGTACACTGGCAATGAAAATTATGGCCATGGCTTTGGGCAAGGAAAATATCTGCATTTAAAATTATTTTAACATATTGCTCTTCCATTACGGAACAAGACGCGGGTCATAGACACTTTCATCAAAAGACGTTGCACTGAAAAATCCCTGAACTTTGCAATCACGTCAAGGATTGACACTTAGATCTTTATTTTCTAACATGTTTGCTACCAAGAAACAAAACCATGATAAGAGACAGTAACGAACAGAGCGGGAAGATGTGCGGGCAGGTCGAAATTCATAATCCATTTTCCGCCGACGAACGTGCATCCACTTCCCAGTCTCAACCCAACCCAATCGTCAGTTAAAAGGCTCTATTTACCTTCACTCTCAAACAGATCACACATCAAACCAAATTTCAAAAACACAAAGTAAAGCGAAATTTAATACAAATAAACTATGGGGAACAAAAGACATAGTAATTCAAAAACAGAACACTAATTGGTCATTCATGCATAAGTACACAAACATTCCTCAACGTAAGGGACGAAAACGCCAAACCTTGATCATGAATGCAATAAACAAGGAAGCCAAAGACGAAAGGCTCGTGGAAGTACTTGTTTAGGTCCGCCACCACTTCTTCGTACCGAGTAACATCTTTTCACGCAACACTTGACATTCGTGGACACAAGATAAACATGATACATAAACTGAAACAACCACACTACGACAACCACCATCCAAGGCAGCCTCCTCCGCACTGAATTACCAAACGATCAATCCTCCTCCGACACTAGAGGTATCTAGTGGTACACATCAAGAACCTAGTTGAGAGCATGGCGCGAGAATCGAAACTTGAAGATGCTGACTACTACAAGCACGCACACACGTTCCACTCCCCCCCCCACACGAAGTTCGTAAAAAGACCTTTCTTTCAGAATCTGACTTTCGGATTTCATGCAAAGTGCGCGAAATTGTCCATTATAGATCGAAATTGAACATATCTAAATTTCAATACCATCAATGTCAGATTTCATGCAAATCCACATTGTTAGAGTGGAATTCTTCGTTTAACATGTTCCGATAAATGTTCATATCGGATGTTTATTCTGAAAGACGTCAGGTTAATTTAATTTAGTATTTGAATTCAATACAAACTCTACTACACATAACATTAAAAAAAGGAATATTGCTTTCTCAAAAACAGTTAATTGTATAAGAACTTTGGTTTTTATATAAAATGTAGATGTCAGTAAACTGCAACTTGTATGTGAAACATAGTCTGCTCAATTATTATTCTTCGATATCATCCATCATACTGTTCTTTTAGTTAAAACCTGTAGGAGGCTGGAAATATCACCAGAGATAGGGACTGTCTCTATTGATTGGGCGCAACTGAGTAGTTTTCGCCTTAAGACAGAGACCGAATTGCCTTTGAAACGTTTTAATGAAAGAACAGAGCAATGGTTAGCAACCAAAAACACGGCAATTGTATTAACATACCGTTATCACAAACTTTTAGATCTTATATTCTGCACAGCTTGCATTTAATGAAAGATAAGGACAGTAAATATAAAGCTATGCAGTGGGGCATTTTCATTGTGTTCTGTCCTGGAAAAGGGGCAAGATGCTACCTATGAGGGTGACTATTTTAAAGTAGCCATTTCCAATGCCTTAAGACATCATAACTATCATTTTCTAGAGCGAAGCGTGCAAGAACAAATTCATGAATGTGTACTGTAATGATTTATTTTAATATGTGTTGCTCATTACTGGGCTTTTCTATTGAGCTGGAATTCTCCTTAGTTCTGCCACACTATCTACCTACTTTTGTTCTGAGGTGTCTACCTAGTTCTGAAAAGCGATGTCCACTCCTGACTGTAATTAGCTTTGCTATAGCAGGTTTCTATTTGGAATAAAATATCAAGATCAATGATACAAAAAAAGTTTAAGAAACATACTGGGAAATAAGCAAACTCTTCTACTTAGGTAAATCTCCAGTTTTATACACCTTATTCTTGGTTATGGAGAAACTGGAGAACATTCAACACCTACAGGAAATGTGCAGATTTCCACCTTCCCATCTATATTGTTAAGTTAAAGATATGCTCAATTGAATTCAGAGGTCCCAATCTGAGAATGTTAAATTAAATGATAGGAATGTAACAGGATAATACATAAAAACACTGATATTAAGTACCGTTTACTTTATAATAACATTACAATTGTTACAGAATGTCAAATTAAAATACACACATTCAATTAAATTGCACATAAAAATATACGTGTATATATAAGTATATCTGAGAACATCATTATATCCTTTACACATTCATCACAAACAACAAATACAGTGGTGTTTGCCAGTGTTTACACATATGTCCAGCATCTCAGATTTTCTTACACAACACAACCACACAAATGAAAAGGGAGGGCCATGATTATGCTTCCTACATACACATATGAGTATTTCTGTTACTCATCAGAACAGAAATGTACTACAGATTGTACTACAAATGGGATTTTTAACACTTAAAAACAAAATACAACTGTCTTTATTAGACATACTGTAATATTACTGCAAGAATCATAATCAGCAAAAATTACATAATGGATAGGAATTGCTTAGAATAGTGCCATACGAATCACATTGGAAGTGTAATAATGTGATCACATGGGTGCAATATGAACAACCAATGCGCAGTTTAAATTATACTACTTTAAAATCAGAGGAAAAATAACTTGGACTTCAATTATAACCAGCCAGTGGTACCAACTAAATGGAACAGAATCCTTCTTGAGAACCTAAGAGTCTTGTAGCTAGTCCAGAACTAAAAACATTTTACAGGACTACAAGGTTCATTATCACAGTCACAAGAGACTGCAGTGGTTGCCATCCTGAAAAAAACTAATTCAGCAAGCCCTCCAACTCAGCCAAGTGCTCTCTTCCCTTCAGGTACAGAAACTGTAAACAGTGGTTAGTGAAGTACATCAGCACCTTCAGCAGTATCAGTATAGGATCATTCCTAAACCAGTAAGATTTTAGTTTCTCCACAATTTAAAAGAAACAGAATCTTTTGTAATATTAATGAACATTTACAATTTCAAGTATGTCCTTACTGAGCCATAAATGTAAGGATAAGTATGGATGGGGGAGGTTTAAACAGTAGCTTGAATAGGGGGAGAAGACGAAAGTGAAACTGAAGAGAAACTAAATCAATGAACCGTATTATAAAGGAACATAGACTAAAAACAAACATGGACAAGAAAATTACTTCATGGATTTTACAGAACCTAGACATAAAAGTCATAATAAAAGTTAATAAAACAATGGTTAAACAAATGTGTACTTACTTGGATAGTGACATAAATTCAGAGGAAAAAACTGATGAAGAGATCAATAGCAGACTACAAAACAGTTATCAATTTTAGCTTATTATAAAAGGAATATAAGGAACAAAGAAATCTCCATCCCAAAAGCAAAATAACAATCTATTAAAGCATACTTTCAACCAATACCAGCATATAATTACAGAAGAATGAGAAACAAAACTAAAACCTGAGCAATGGATAAAAAGGAAAAGTTGTCCCTGTACTTAACTAATAAATGAAGTTGTATGGGGAAGTGGATATATAGATCCACATACTCTTTTCCTTGGCACTAGTTGGAGGTGAGTGGTCAGCTTCATGCCCCAAGCACTTTACCCCCAGGGAAAGAGACCCTGGTACAGATGGGATAGGGGGATGGCTGGACCCCAGAACAGGTCTGGACAGTGTGGACAGGAGAAAAATTTTGTTCCTACCAGGTCTCAAAGTCTGGTCCCTTGGCCTTCCAGCCCAGTTGCTACACCAAGTGTGCTATCCCAGCTCCAAGCAATGGATAGAAATTAATTTTTTGGAGAAAAATTTGAAAATACAAATTTCATAACAGAGGTTGACTGGAAGGAGTACAGTGTTTTGATTGTGTAAAATGTATGGATAGAACAAAGGTATTGAGACAGATAACAGAAAAAAAAGTTGAAAGAAAGAGGCCTGTGGTATGACCCAGAATAAGATGGTTTGTTTAGGTACTGAAAGAAATCAAAAAGGGAGATTTTACACCCAACAACCCACATAAAACAGAAATGATGCTAGGTGGTTACCATTCCAATGAAGATTTTCATACAGCACTTCCAAACCATCTGTATCTCTTCTGAGGTCTATTTATTTTTCATTTTAAATTAGTTAATTCATTCCCAACAGTGGCCAAAAATGTGTAGCAGTTTCAATATAATTTAATAAAATATTTGTAACATATCAAGACACCTGAAGATGGCCGTCTGGGGCCAAAACATATGTCAAAGTGTATAAAATGTTAAACTAAGATTAAGATTAAGATTAAGTAGTGAATAAACAAGTGTTGCAATATTGATGGACGATAAATACATGGACATTAAGTTAAATAACTGTAATAGGATGCTGAAATGCAGAATGAAGTCCAACACAGGACTTTGATTTTCTTTCTTAAAGGTCAAAGGAGATGAGAGATTTTTTGAGAACCTAATTATGTTACTAAAATGAAACAAAACAGATAAATGTTTTCACTTATATCTGTGTGGAAGAAAGATGAAAAGCGTTTTAATGATTCT